GGGGGGGGGGGGGGGGACGATCCGCGGAGGCCGCCTCCAACCAGCGGGGGCGCAGACAGGGGAGAGCGGGGGATGTGCAATGCGGTGGTCGGTGTCACCCGGGCCGACCGTTCGTCCCGGCCGGGCGCCGCCGGGCCCGAGGACAGGCGCGTCGGCCCGGGCGACCGGCCACACCACCGGGCACATCGCGGTTGGGGAGCGGAGATCGAACGCGCCGGTTGGCCGGGCGCGGAGGGCGGGGGGCCGGGCGAGAGGGCTGTGTCCGCCTTGTCGATCGGGCCGGCCGCGGCGCGTCCGGGCGAGCCCGGGCATTGTTGGGGCGCTGTTGCGGGGGGGGAGGGACGCACCGTCCCGAGCGGAGGACCGATCGTCTGTGCAAGCGCGCCCCGCGTCCTGGCCTATTAATTTGGCCACTCGGCCGCGCTCCGGGGGACGAGCGCGGCGGCGGCGACGGCGGCGCCCAGGCCGCGTCGCCGGGGTGCCCTCTTCGCCCTTCCCGCTGTTGTCGCTGCGCTCCCCCGCGCCGCAGGCCCTCACGCTCTCTCTCGCTCGCCATGGGGACGGAGGAGGCGCCGGGCCGGGCCAGCACGACTGAGCGTCACTTTCCATGAAAGGCTCCTGCGGGCGGCCCCCAGACCAGCCGGGCGGGGACGGGGGAGGACCGCCGCGGGGCCAATCCCACCAGCCCCCCCCCCCGGCCGACCGGCGGCGGCCGCGGCGAGATTAACACTTCCTCGCTCTGTTGCGGCTGCCGCCACCGCGGCCACCGGCGTCGCGCGCCAGGCCGGCCATCCAGTGTCCAAATGGGGGGCGGGCCGTACGGTGGCACGTAACCGACTACCCGAAGCCGCAGCCCCTTCTCCGTGGAGGGGCCGACTGACTACGAGGCGCCTCTCTGCTCCGAGTACGTGTGTGTGTGTGTGTGTGTGTGGGTGCGGGCGCGCGCGCGCGCGCGCGAACGCCACGCATGATGGCCACTCGCATGCAGCCCGGCGGCCTGGGGCGGGGCCCCGGTTGGCGCTGCCAGGCAGTGGCGGCGCGCGTCCATGGCAGGAGAGGCCCGCTGCCGCCCGGCCCGGCCCGGCCCGGCCCGGTCCCCCGCCCCCCCCCCCCCCCTGGCCGCATGCCCGCGGGGTGTTTACCCGGCCCGCGAGACCTCTCTCCCGCCATCCAAAAACCCATCAGGGTGCGTTTGGGCCGGGCCCTGCGCGGCGGCGCGCACTATTCTCAGGCAGCGGCCAGGGCCGCACCGGGCGCAAAAGCGACACAGGGGGGGGGCAGCGGGGGGGAGACGCGGGAGAGAGCCAGAAAGACCCAGAGCCCGAGCCCCGGGCGTCCGCGGTGGTCGGGTGTACACGCGTCGATGTGTGCATGCATATGTGTGCGCGTGTGCCTCCTCTCGCGAACCACCTCGAGTGGCGGGCGCGGCGGGGGAGGGGGGCACACCCACCGGCGCCTCCCCCCACCCCCTCCCCTCGTACCCCGGGGGGAGGGGGTGGTGAGGGCCAATCTCACGCACGCATGGGTGTGTCGGGGGCCCGCACAGGCCCCCGGCCCGGCCGCCCCCCCGGTGACCCCG